CTGACGACCATGAACAACTTGGCGCTCGTGCTGGACAGCCAAGGCAAGTACGTGGAGGCGGAATCGATGCTCAGGCAGACGCTGGCGACCAGTGAGAAGGTGCTTGGTGTTGACCATCCAGACACGCTGACGACCATGAACAGCTTGGCGCTCGTGCTGGACAGCCAAGGCAAGTACGTGGAGGCGGAATCGATGCTCAGGCAGACGCTAGCGACCACTGAGAAGGTGCTTGGTGTTGACCATCTAGAAACGCTGACGACCATGAGTAACTTGGCCGGAGTGCTGGACAGCCAAGGCAAGTACGCGGAGTCGGAATCGATGCACAGGCAGACGCTGGCGACGCGTGAGAAGGTGCTTGGTGTTGACCATCCTTCCACGCTGACAAGTGTCTACTGCCTTGCTTATCTCCTCGCAGAGCAACATTACTATGCCGAATCTGTTGATTTATATAAGAGAGCATACGCTAGGTACAGTTCTATCCTTGGGGAGGACCATCCCACCACACGTGCGTGCCTCGAACATTATTCTGCACTACTTGCTTCGCGGGAGCACTCTCTTCCTTCTACAGAACAAGCCATCTGCGCCGAAAGCGGGGCTTCTGGCAAGATATCAAAGCTGTCACGTGCTCTGCGCAAGTTGGGCAATAGGAACTCAAAATTTTCATGATATATATAAGTCTAATAACTTAGTGGGGTACGAAATAAGGGCGCGCATGATAGAGATGATTCTCTTTTTACAAGACTGTCTTAGATATGGGTATCATGAAGCTTCGCTATGCCACATTATTCTAATACTAGTAACTCGCTTATTTAAACTCCACTCACTGCTTTAATGTCTTTTTGGAGATATTAATAGGTTTTAGTGATCTTCTTCTAGCTACTTTCTATCTCTGCATGTAGCTGGACTATCCATTTTCTAAAGCGAAAATGTGAAAATCTTTTTATCTTTATAAGGGCAGCTTGTATGCCTTTGGAGGTTCTTAAGATTATGTCTGTATCTAGATCTCTATCTCGTTCTCTTGATTGCTATACACTGAAAAGTTGCTCTATGATATCTAAAATTTGCGTTTTTGTAAGGAATTGGTGATAGAAGTGTGAGATAGACAGTTTGGATTCAAGAATATCCGCTGGCTCCTGAGAGTTTCTCCTCCGAGCTACCTTAAATACATGTATATAGAGTCGTTACAGGTACGTCTCACCTCCGTATCACCTGTGTGTCGCCAAGCCCCGAGGTAACTGCAAGTATATGGTGATGCCCGCGGGACCCCAGTTCTGGCGTGGCACCTGTGCCACGCCGTTGTCACGCTGTACGTGACAGTTTTAATACTTGTAGGCTTTGATGACTCCTGGGATCAGGGTAACTCTATATATATAAGTATACTGGGTAATACGGCTTTCAAAGAAGCAGTTTTCGATCTTAAAGTAGGAAGAGTGAGGATTATTTGAACAATATTCGGGGCGTTATTTCGAAAACGAAAGCACCCGCTTTTATTATACTCTGCTTTAAATTAAGCTAGTGATCATAGGGATTGCCGAGAAATTGCTAGCCCGCATCGAGATAAAGTGTCTCATGAAGTGGAACAAAACAATCGGCCGAAGACAAAACACAAGAACGGCAAGGAGCAACAGATTTGTTGGCAAGACCTCGAAGGGAAAAAGAAAGAATAAAGAAGGAGTGACAAGAGCTCGGATAAGGAGCAGCGTCGTCTTCAAAAAATTTGTTTTCCCAAGTTCGACAAGCTGAGCACGCATGCGGAGTGGCCGTCAACGGGTACCGAGCAGGCGTTGCGAGAAGCGCTAAAGTCAGCTGCGAAAGTCCTGTCGCGAACGTGGCAGGCCTCGCTGTGGACTGTGGACGGATAGCCGCTGGCAAACCCGTTTCCTAAAGTCTTGGGGACTGGCTGGAGCGCAAACCGCCCATTTGCGGGCGTGACGCGGTTCTAGGCTGTCTCCTCCGTCGGCACTGAAGCTTCAAGGCAGCTCTCGTCGCGAGAAGGGGGCTAGCAAGTGAGGTGGAAGGTGTTGCGGGAATCTTGGTGGGGGCAGAGGGAAGGGATGTCTGCGATGGCGACGCTTGAGTGATCGAGGGTTGGCTGTCGACGGGTCCCGCCGTCGGTGGACTTTGGTTGTTTTGCGACATAGCCACGACGGACCGGCCATGGTGTTGACACGCTGCTCCGCTTCGGCGGAGTGAGTGCGGCTCTTGTACGTCCTGAGCGCGGCGGTTTCTTGCGAGACGGCTGCGTGGAGGTAGGGACGAGGGCGGCATGGGTAGATACCTGGTTGATTCTGCCAGTAGTCATATGCTTGTCTCAAAGATTAAGCCATGCATGTCTAAGTATAAGCAAGTATACTGTGAAACTGCGAATGGCTCATTAAATCAGTTATC